AATCAGCGATATTAAAACAATAAAAGGCTTGCGATATTTCAGTTGATTTGTAATGAATCCAGAATGTATGACATTTCATGATTTTTAATTGCATTACAGAAAATAAAGAACTTTATCACCATATTCAAATTTTCTGAGACAGTCCTGTATATGTCTTGTAAGAAAGTCTTAAATTGTCTCCCTTTATGAGTCACTCTCAGCTCCTGACCTGTTATCTTTCCCCCCTCTTTGCACACAGAGCTCCATGAACAGGATGGCCATCCAGGCCCTGGAGAAGATGGAGACCCGGAAGTTCAAGGCCAAAGGGAAGGGCCAGCGCGAGAGCAGCTGCGGGGCGTCTGATTCGCTGAGCAGCAGCTCCACCTCGGACTGCGCCATCTGTCTGGAGAAGTACATCGACGGGGAGGTAAGAAAAGGCACCGACCCTTAGAAACTCATCTGTGTTTTTCAGGTTAAAATGCCTTTTCTAATATTGTTATAAGAGCTTAACGATCCCCCTGTTCTGATTTCTTTACATGTTCATATACCCACACAGTCAGGGTTAGGGTTACGTAACTCTTCTCTTTTTTCTTAAAGCTCTGCGTGTATTCTGGTGTTTAGTACGTACAGGGCCTTAAACTATAGGTGGCGCTCTGCAGATATGAAGTGGAGAACCCCATAAATGACACCGATTGGCTGTTTTAACATTTTTAACCATTGAAAAAGAGAAAAGATATCTTTTAGACACGTGACTAAAGTTAAGAGCATTTTCTCCTTAATACAGCTCCCTTTTGAAGCATCTGTATTTGATAAGAGGCTGTTTTAATCATTTTTAGCCTTTCAAAACAAAAGGAGAAAAGAGATCTTATATACATGTGACAAAAGTTACGAGTATTTTTAAAAGATTTCTCGCATAGCGAACTATTGCGTTTGTTTTTATTTGCTTACAATCTATGCTAATCTCCCATCAAAAGTGGCACAGCTACCTAGAGGGTATATTTGTTAGTCCATACTCTGTCTAGAAGCCGATATTTACGGGAAAACTTTCGCCGATCGTCCCCCAAGCCACTCGCATTGAAAAACATAAAAGACGTCTATAGACGTCTTTGGCAGTCAACGGTTGGATTTGAAAAGACGTCTATAGACGTCTTTGGCAGCGAATGAGTTAATAAGAGGCTGTTTTAATCATTTTTAACCTTTCAAAATAAAAGGAAAGAAGAGATCTTTTAGACACGTGACAAAAGTTAAGAGAATTTTTCTGCTCAAAACAGCTCTCTTTTGAAACATCTGCATTTTATAAGAGGCTTTCTTTAAAAAATAAATAGATAAAAGCTGTTTCACTCGTGCAGACGTGGCCCATGTGGAAGCCTTTTAACTCCGACCCTTTTGTTGGTCATCGGGCTGCCGGGATTGTTTTTTTCTCCTGTTCTCCTGGTTGGCGTTTTTCTGCCGACGGTGACAATAGAGTGGAAGTTCCCCTGATGTGTTCGGGGACCGCAGCCCTGCGATCCTCAGCCGCCTTTCAGATGTTTAGCGCCGCCTTTCAGAGCACCTGGGGAGATAAGGGGTACCCAGGGTGCACCAGTTTGTGATTTAACTTCCTGTTTTTCCCCCAAAGTGAGCCCTCCTTTAATCCTCAGATGGAGTCACCGTCAAAATATGTATCCCAATCTTTGAGGATTTACTGTAGCTGCATTGCTCATCCTTATTCATGGGACAAACCCCCAGGGGGGACGCTTGCT